CCCCCCCCCCATTAAGATGTGTGCCTCAGTTTTGGCAGGCTAATTTTTGAGGGAAAGGTACATGTCACGTATGTACATGCGGTACTTGTTTGCAAACACCTACTTGGATAAAAATATTTTAAAGTTATTTATTTGCATCAGTTTATTGAAAATGAATGAGCACTTCCTGCATTAGTGATATAATGAAGGCATGTGTTCTGCTTTTAGATAATGTAAAGTATATTCCTATGGATTCTCATGTAACTGGCATTTATTTGGAAATTACAGGCCCTAAAACCTACAGTTTTGGTTCCTCAACTGATTCCAGTGGTGCTGTTTCAAATCAGGACAAATCTGTTCTTAAAGTGAGTAGCTTTATTCCTTGTGCCTTATTTTATTGTAAACAAAACATTTCAATGAACCTTAATTACCACATGGCACTCAGAAGAGTGAAGCTTGTACAAACAGACAGATGTGCATTGATTCCTTTGTGTTTTTTGGTAAGTGACGGAGTAGTTTAAAAAAAAAATTGAGAAAAATGTACTGTTTATACCTACACAAAGTTGTCATCTCTGACTTAGACTTCAATTTCAATGAACTTTAAAGCATTTGAGATTTGTATAGTTAAGTTGCTGTGCAACAGACAGCTTAATATGTGAGATGGGCACGGAAACAACATGGGTTTTTTGAGGCTTTTGACTTGTATGCTTTAAAACATTCAGAACGCTAAAAATGTAGCAGAAGATGCATAGAGGTTAAAGTGCTACAAGCTAACTAAAACCATATCAAGAGTGATCCTGGAAGAAGCATGGATAATTCTGAAGTGCTTACATTGATGCGTTAGTTACAAAGTGTTACAATGTAAAAGAGCTTTAAAAGAAAACAGAATTAGAAGGGTTATATACATGTTTCTGTTTCCACCCTCCCATCTTTTCTTTTCATAATACTCTTTATTTATCTGTTTATGTTGGCTTAATTTGTAAATTCTTTTGTTTATGTTGGCTAATTTTTGTTTCCCCAGGTAGTGATTAACAGTAATTTGGAAAAAAGGATTATTGGAGTAATCAATGAGCATAAAAAGCAATATGATGACAAAGGAATGATTTCTAGAAGACTTACTGCCAAAAAACTACAGGTAGAGAATGAACCTATTTTATGAGATCTGAGTAATTGAATGTGTTATTCGGTAGTAGCATTTTTCTCTCTCTCATTTTGTGGAATTGGGCATTTGTTACATATGAGGAAGATGACCAAAATAAAGATTGAGTTGGAGAATAGATGACCAGAGACCCTTCCTCTCTGGCAGTCAGGCAGCTAGAGGAAAAACAGAATAGTAGTAACAAATATTTGCTCCTCCTTCTTGCAATAACCAAGGATCCTGAATGGCAGAGTGGTGAAACTGGAGTTCCTGCTGTCTTCCAGCAAAATGATAGATGTAAAGCTTTACTTCTATTTCTTTTCCTTTTTTAAAAGCTGGGTTTTGTATGGTACTGTTTGTTATGACACCATGTACCTCCATTTGGCTAGTAGATACGTTTTAAATTCTTCAAATTCTAGTGCCTTGATGCTTCTGATTTAGGTGGGTTTAAACATTAATTTTATATAGTGAGTATAGCTTGTTCAGTGGTTTGTCTGCTGTTGCATCTATGTAATACCATTTGAATCCATTTAATGCCAAATTTCCATTTTTTCCAAACTTAGTTTACAACCCTGGTTCTGAGTAAATTAACATTTACTTATTTAATGTAACTGCTTAATATAGTCTGATGATCTTTATTTGTAGGATGTATACATGGCTTTGCAGGGATTTTCTTTTAAGACTGAGCACATTGAGGAAGCAATGAAAAATACAATTTTGTATGGTGGTGATCTTCATTCTGCGCTTGATTGGCTCTGTTTAAACCTCTCTGATGGTAAGTGTAACAGGAGAGAGAGAACTTCTTGGTGCTAAAGCCTTTTGAAGCCATCAAGATGGGTTTTTGTCCTGTTTTTTGTAATTGTAATGACTATAATTCATGTAACTGGTAGTATATATACTACCGTCTGCGTAAGAGGCAGGATTTGTCTTTTTCCTTTTCCTAGGAATATTACTTTCTTATAGATCCAATAAATTATTTCTGAACATGGCATAGAAATCTGTAGTTATTGGAAAGAATTTTAAATCCCTCGAAGTCGCAAAGCCTTAATATCATAGTTGCTCTCAGAAGAGATCCATTAAGTCACGTATCCATAAATAAGCTGTCCAGTAGGGTTTTACAATCTATAGTTGCTTTTAAAGGCATGAAAAACAAAAATAGTATTATTTGTGTGCAGTATTATATGGGAGTGCTGAATAATAATAATAAAGGTTTTTGCTTTAAGGTATTTTTCCCTCCTCCACCTCCCCAAGTTGAGCCAGTAGTAACAACTCATCATAAGTAGGTCATGAGCAGACATTGACTTCTGCTTACATAAATATTGAGGCCTCAGATTATTTCCATTAGCCACATTGTTAAATTGTTTCCTATTTTATTTTATACCCAATGTTTGCACAAGTTTTCCATTATTTTCTTTTCACTGCATGGATTTCCAATTTGTTGGTTTTTTAAAGATGCTTTACCTGAAGGGTTCAGTCAGCAGTTTGAAGAAGAGCAGCATAAACCTAGAGCAAAATTCTATTCTCCCGTGCCACAGTGTGGAACTCATCAGATGCCAAACAACAAAATGAAAGAAGGTGGTCCCGAAATCAAGGTAACTTGAGGAATTTTGGCGCTTAGTGAGAACAGATTTTCAAAACATATAATATCCATTGGTTCCAATGGAAGCAGGGTTATGCCAATGTGAAATATTTTTGAAGTAGGTATACACAATAGTCTTTTCACCAGAAGGAAGAGTTTAAACGAAAATAAAATTACATCTTTAAAGTCTAAAAAAATAAAAGGTCTCTGAAGTTTTGCTGCGAACATTTGCCTTGCAGGAAAAATGCAAGGTTCCAGTATAGATAAATCTTTTACCAATGGATCTTGTTTTTTCACTGGTGTAATCTACAGAAATCTGGGTATGTTTCATATTGATTTTAGGTTTATATAAGGTTGCCTTTTAATGTAGTTGTCAAATACCATAAGCTGTTAAATCAGAATCAAGATTCCTCACATAAACCTCTTCTTTATAGTAGTTATAAAGTTCTTGTGTTGATATTAAAAGTCATATAGTTAAAAAGCAAGATGATGTTCCTTATCAGAGTAGCTTGTTATATCTTAGTTAACCTATTTTGGTCAGTATTTTAAGCCAAGGGTGGGCAACTAGTTGGCCTGGAGGATCACTTCATGAATTCTTGTGAGCTGTTGAGGGGCAGGGCATAGGGAGATGCCAGTTGAACCTATCCAGGAGTTTGAAGAGGGAGGGCTGCACCCTATGCTGCTGTTTTGCTGCAGCCCAGGCTGGGCCATGCAACATACAGACTTCACTGTCTCCCCACACTCCTCCCCACTTCCCCACCCCTCTGTTGGTACTGCACAGCCCTGGCACTGTGGCTGACAGCAGCAGGCCTGCACCGGACAGCATGTGATGCAGAGTCCAAGTAGCTATCCTGCTCACCTGCTTAAGTGAACAGCAGCTGACACATGGGGGAAGTTAGGGGCAGCTGCCCTGGGCTGAGCCCCCCCTGCAACTGACATGGCCTTGCCTCTTAGTGTCACTATGACAGTAGCAGCTTATCATGGTGGGTGGGCAGGACAGCCACTCAGCGTGATGCATCATGCCATGGTGCCAGGACTGCACAGCTGCAGCGCCAACAGGAAGCTGGGGAATGGGGAAGGGAGAAGCAGGGAGGAGTCTGCATGCTATCCAGCCTGGCCCTGGCTGGAGCAGTGCAGGGCACAGCCCTCACCCTTCCGCCTTCTGACAGCAGCTAACGGGCTGGATAGGATCAATTGGTGAGCCGGATATATAGCCTGTTGGCTGTATTTTACTCATCCCTGTGTTAAGCATTCTCACTTTTCTGTATAATTGCCTTCAATGTTGGCTTTTCTTCAAAGCAGAAGAACACAGGGAAAGATAAGGAGCTCAGTATGAAAGAATGGATTTTGCAATATGCTGAGCAGCAGAGCGATGATGAGAAAAACGAATCAGTGAATGACTTAGAAGATGAGGAAAAGTTTGACCCTGTAAGTTGAAGAGCAATTTTTATAGGGAATCATTCCAAAATCACAACATACATTTATCTGTAAATCATGACTGTTGTATGCATACATGTTTGAATAAAGCCAGTTGTTGAATAACTGGCTTAAATTACTGCCTTCTAGTTTTTTGGATTTGAAAGCATTGCAGCCGGAGGGAAGAGAGCTTTTAAAACTTCTAGCTGTAATACTTCCTAAAGTAATTCTCTCATTCTATGTTTTGGATTGAGCATTAATAGTATTGCACCAAGAAAGAAAGGAAAATACAACATCTTGTAGTAGACTTAAACTTGTTTCCTACCACCATACTTAAACTAATGCTCTTTCTTTTACATGGTGATTGTAAAATAAAACTTACTCCGTCTTTCAGGGAGGAAATTCTTTCATATAAGATTTTTTTGGGGGGGGAGAGAATATGCTTTATTATAACGTTTGTAATAAATTACACTTGCAAAATAGCCAGGATAAAACTAGTCATCTTCTTTGGAACAGAATGAAAGGTATTTACACTTGGCTGCAAAGCTTTCAGAGGCAAAGGAACAGGCAAGTTCTTCCAAACAAGACAAAGACAAGCAAGGTCAGAAGGCAGCACAAGAAAAAATAAGGAGAATTCAGCAAGGTATGAAGAATACACATTGCCTGTGCCTTTTGTCTCTTTTCTAAGTTTAAGAGTATGTCTCTGCTTCTGTCTGCATATCCATTAATAGCTAAGAAAAATGTTCTTATAATGGCAGCTAAGTACTACTTTAACTGGTTTTGTATCATTTTGTAGGCAATAGATTTTCTTGGATGTATCTTTTTTATGTAGCCTGGGGTTTTTAAAAAATGCAATGGTTTTTGATTCTTTGTAAAGATTTGCCCACACGGCACTTGTTGAGAATAATCAGCACATGTTTCCTTTGGCAGAAATGTCAACACTTGAAGAACATCCTGTGTTTAATCCAGATATAAAAATTACAAACCAGCAACAAAATGAAAAGAAAAAACCTCCTTTGTCATCTGAAGCCCCATTAAATTTGAGCTTGCTTGAAAAATCTGGAGCAGCTCCTCAGGAACAGAAAGGTGACAGAAACCATTCAGTTCAGTATAAAGTTCATTTACCATACTCCAATTAACAAAGTTCTGTAATGTTCTGTAAGTTGTATTTGTTGTCATCTGTGTGCTAGAAGTCACCCAAACCCTGTCTGCAGTAAAGGGAAGATAGGCCAAATTTACTGACCATTTGTCTTTTAAAGTTGCTATGTTATAGTCAATAATCTCTTTTGCCACTAATTCTAATTGTCGCTTCTGTCTCAGATCCTGGTATAAATGTTAGCTTCACATAGATGGAAGGCTAGTACCTTAATTTGCTATGTTACTAAGTCGGTCATTAATTTCTTTTATTAAACGATCTCAACCTGAATTTAAGCAATAGTAATCTAGCAAAGAGAATGAGTAGTGCCCTACATTGAAGGCAGGTGCTTATTTTGAGAATGTAGGAATTGCCATACTAAATCAGACTGCTGTTTGTTTGTTTTTTCCTCCAATTGTGCCTAGTGTCAGTCCTTGTTAAACATAATCGCATAATTTTTGCAAACACTTTTCTTTCTAATAAATAAATTCAAGAGAAGTCCTTCAGAGTCATCCAAGAATTAAGAATGCTTGGAACCTCCAGGAAATCATCTTAAATTACATAAACTTTGTTCTGCTGTTATAGTGAAAAAGAAAGAACCTCTAGATGTAAGGAATTTTGACTACAGTGCTCGAAGCTGGACTGGTAAATCCCCCAAACAGTTTTTGATTGACTGGTGCAGGAAATATTTTTCCAAGAGTCCAAACCCTTCTTTTGAAAAAGTTCCGGTGGGTAGATATTGGAAATGTAGGTATGTACTTCAAGTAAAGTATGACTTTTCTACTAATTCATTCAGGAATATGACTCTTGCTACTTCCATTTTATAAACTTAAACTAAACTTATGTATTTAGTATTTATCTTAAGCCTTTTTCATTCTGAAAGATATTTCACTCTGGCTGGGTCTGTAAGAGCAAGACTAAATGCATAATGTTCTGACAAAACAGGTTCATTGGTGAGTTATTTTGCAAAGTGCTTGCTCTAATTCTTGTCCATGCTATGAAGAATCCAAAAGGAATTGTTATAATAGAACAAGTTACCTTTGACTGGTTTACTTGATTCCTGGCATTCCAAATCAGAGGCCTTGCAACAAAGCAATAATTGTACAGGTTAACATTTCTGCCCCTGAAGCTTTATGCTTTTTAGTTTAAAAATAGGTTAAATGGTACAAACCAGCTTGTATACATGCAAGTAGTTTTTCATATACTGGGCGCATCTACATGTGCAATTAGTCTGACTGAATAAATTCGGGTACAGTTTGCACCAGTTTATTGCTCCCGGGTGCAGCATTTACACATGTGCCTGGGACTGCAGCATGTTGAGCCAGAGTGGCGCTGGCAGGAGGCCTGGGCGTCAGTATGCGAGCCTGGAGCTGCTCTGCTCTGGGTCAGCACGCTGCAGAGAGGTTGGCTGGAGCACTACACCAAACCACCTATGCTCTAAAATGCCTTGTGTTTACTTTTGCCACTAGTGGGGGGAGGAGGTGGGGAACCAAGAAAAAATATACTGCAAATCTACATTTGAGATCTGTTCCATAAACCAGGCGCCAAATTTTTTTTTGGCTCGTTATGCTGAATATTTAATCTTTAATGGTTTGTGTTTTTTTTGTGCAATAGTTTGATAGCTTTGTTTCTACTTTTCACTTCCTTGTTCTGAATGTTGATTCTTATATTTAAGCAAAGGTACCGGCTTATACAAATGTAAGAAAAATGTTTGTTTGTATCATGTATTTTATAAACTTGATTCTTGTATCTCTGAAGGGTCAGGATTACCAAGTCAGCTGATGATATCATGACAGCGTGTCCTACAATTGTGACAGAGGATAGCATGCAAGCTCAGCATTTGGCTGCTACACTGGCTCTCTACCATTTGGTCAAAGGACAGGTGAGATTTGGAATGGAATGCATTTTCATGCAATATTTAAATTCTATTCACCTGTGCATTTATTCACATTCAGCCTTTTTTAAAAGATGAATTGGTATGTTTTTCTCTTTAAATTACAGGTACAGTTGTCATTACTGAGTTGGCACAGTATACACATTATTGCATGTAGAAGGACCTCATTTTGCATGGGTAAAATTAATGCAAAAGTTAAATTATGGGCTACAGCAGGGCTGTTCAACCTCTGAGTGCCCCACTAATTGTATACTGTACTGTTCTGTGAACCCCACCCTCTGCCCTCCAATGCTTCACTGCACCATGTGCGCACCCACCCCCTGCCATACCCTCCCTGCTGCACCTCACTGAGACCCTGGGTCCTCCTAGCCACAGGCTCCCTTGGCCACATGGACCACAGTACATTGCCCTGTGAGGGCAAGAGGCACCAGAAGACTAGGACAGCAGAGACTGTTGGGCAGTCAGGGGAGCAGCACTTAGATTAAGCCCAGCAGTGACAGGTTAACACTTTGAGGCTGCATGTGACACATAGGCCACCAGTTGGACAGCTCTGGAATGCAGGTTGCGTGGATTCTGTATCTTCCAGTTTACTTTCTTTCCTGACAGATGTGCTTCTTTAGAGAAATGGTAAGTTCTGATATCATATTTGTCTATATCAGCTGTTCAGCAACATGGCTACAGACTAAATAAATAAGTAACGCATCCATTCCTTAAAAGACTTTTATGATATCTTATAGAATTGTCAGGTATAATTATGCATGAAATATCAGTCAAACTATACAGTAACGCATACTATGACACTTTCTGTCTTTTATTCCTAAAGTCAGTCCATCAGTTGCTGCCTCCTACATACCGAGATGTCTGGTTAGAATGGAGTGATCTTGAAAAGAAAAAGGAAGAAGAAAATAAGATAGAAAGTAACAAACCTCGTGATAACTTTATTGCCAAATTGTTAAACAAACTCAAGCAGCAGCAGCAGCTGCAAGCTGAAAACAAACCCGAAGTAACAGAAGATCCTGAAGATTCTTGGGAAAATTTAGTTTCGGAAGAGGACTTCAGCAGGCTCTCCCTTGAGACCTCAAGTACAGATAGTCTGGAACCTGTGAGAATTCTATTTAGAAAACAGCAGAGTTCTTCCAGATATGAGAGACTTCTACAAGAAAGACAGCAGTTACCAGTGTTTAAACATAGGCATTCAATTGTAGAAACTCTAAAAAAACACCGAGTACTTGTTGTGGCTGGTGAAACAGGCAGTGGAAAAAGTACACAAGTGCCACATTTTTTGTTGGAGGACTTGCTGCTAAATGAGGGAGGATCAAGTAAATGTAACATTGTGTGTACGCAACCCCGGAGGATCTCAGCAGTGAGTCTGGCAACCAGAGTTTGTGAAGAACTTGGCTGTGAAGCTGGACCTGGAGGAAAAGTAAGGCACTACTTAATTCATAGAGGCTTGAGCAATTGAGTTTACAGAAAAAAATTCTCATGCAATACAGAAATACTGTTCTGTCCCTATAACTGTTTGGTGTGCTATCTCTTGAGAGAGAGAGCTGTTCTTTTGTGTTATGTTGCATTTTACCCTTGCACTTTGTTAAATTCTGGATTGCCCAAAAGAAATGTGTGTTAGCAAATTATCTAAATACTACTGAATACATATATACTGTATATTTAAAATACACATAGGAGGTAAAGGTATTATTTTGAAAGTAAAAATTTGTCCTTTGTGCAGAACACAAGAACAATTTATTTGGTGAATTATGCCAAGCCAGCTACATGAATTTTAATGCAGAATGAAGGTTAATTTTAAAACTTCAAAATAAAACATGTTCAGTTTGTATACAGCAGCATGAGGAAGATCTAGCATTTACTTCATACTGATGATGATGATTATTATTATTATAGAATAAATGCTCTCATTTCAGAAATGAAATTTCACTTTGTTTCCCTCCAGAAATAGCACTCTTTTGCCCAATTCTGCTTTTTATCAGATGTAGAGCCATTTACTCCTGTCTTTAGGATAAAGAATTTCAAAAATTTAGAGAGAGTGATTTTACAGTGAAATAGCACATTTTTTAGAATACATCCTAGGTCACTATAATTTCAGTATGTCTTCATTAAAAAAAACTTCTGCAGGCTTGCTTTTGTGGGTAGTAAGATGTTAAGTTGGGTCAGCAGAAGCTACTGTTTTTCAAAAATTATATTGAAACTAGATGATCTTGAGGTCTTTAAAATACTCCTAGAGCTGACTTTTGGTTTGGTGGTAGTATCCTGCTACTTAAAGAATCATGTTCAGAGTTTGTATTATAATTTTTATATGCCTTCATTTTATTAAAAACATTATAAGTAACTTTGAACATGAACAAAGGATTAATAGAAATGGATTAATTGAAGCGATAGAAGCAATAATCTTTTAGGTCTTTCCCATTTCTTTCTGCCAGTGTACTTCCAAGGCAGACATAGATTTGGCAGTTTAAATGCAATGCAGGGATTTGATTAGGAAACTCCTGAGTTTGATGCTGACTCAAGCACTCTTTTTTGGCAGTCCCTCATATCTGAGGATGGTTGTTTTCTATGACTGTTTTATCTGTGGGTCAGAAGATGGTTGACAAAGCCAATCCAGGATCATCAGGTTCTATTGTAACTTGGGCACATGTTTCCATGCGGGATGGGTGGCTCCAGATTCTTGATTTGGTTCATGACGCACTGTTTCTTCTGCTCCCACTTTTTCGTCTCCTGTTGTCGTCATAAGGTTTCAAAGTACTGAGATGCTTGCCAACAGATTCTTCCTCCATGTTGGACAGTTCTGGATGATAGTCTCCCACAAGTTGATGTCAATGTTGCATTTTTTCAAGTTGGCCTTGACGACGTCCTTGAAGTGCTTTCTCTTCCCTCCTTCGAGTGTACACATTCATTAAAGAATACAACTTGCTTTGTGAGTCTGGAGTTGAGCATCCGGATGATGTGGCTGGCCCAGCAAAGTTGATGTTGGATTATCGTCGCCTTGATGCTTGTGATGTTTGCTTCAAGAGGACACTAATATTGGTGCATCTGTTTTCCCACTGGATTCGAAGATGTTCCTCAGGCAGCATTGATGGTACTTTTCCAACGTCTTGTGATGTCTCCTGTATGTGGTCCACATCTCTGCTCTGTACAGTAATGTGGGGATCATAACTGCTTCATAAAACATAAGCTTGGTTGTGGATCTGATGTCATGATCTTCAAACATCCATTTCCTCAGGTGTCTGAAGGCTGCATTTGCACTTTTGAGGCAATGTTGGATTTCTTTGTCAGCCTTCTGTGAGAGATGGCTTCCCAGGCATGGGAAATAATGTTCTCCAGAGTCTTGCTGTGAATCTGAATGACCGGACCTGTGGACTGCTCATTAAGAGCTTGTTGATGGAGGACCTTAGTCTTCTGAATGTTAAACATCTATTCCATTTTCCTGTATGCCTCAGTAAAGATGTCAATGATTCCCTGAATGTCTGCTTTCAAACGAGCACACATAGCATCATCAGCATACTGGAGCTTCATGATGAAGTGTCCCAGAGGGATGCAAGCAGAGGGCCCTAAGCCCCCTCCCGCAGTGGGACCCAAGGCAGGGCTGACTCACGCTGAGAAGAAAGAGAAAAGCCCTAAGGGCAGGGCATGCTTACCTTTCTTAGGAAAAGCGGAGCTGGACGAGCCACGCTGAGACGGACTGCCCACGCAGTTTGTCAGCCACTTTTATTGCCAGCTGGGGATGGTGCTGGTGGATGATGACATCAGAAAACACCATCTGTCTGATTTAAAACTGGCAGCAGCGAAATGTCCTGGAGAGCAGCACCACCAGAGCCAGATGGCAAGGCTGCTCCCCGAGCTGCACACAGGCTGTGTCGGCAGCCCAGAGAGGATCCAGACAAGGACCCAACGGAGGGGTCCAGGACCAACTGAAGGAGACACCACACTGGTTTGGCAGGGCAACCAGGCCAAGGAGGACAGCGTCGAGGGACCTTGACGCCTCAGATGCTGGACCTGTGAGTGGGGCAGGCTGAGGCCCCATGCCCCAACTTTTCCTTTTTTGTCTTAGTTTGTTTTGAGATTTCCCAAGGCCCCTAAGCAGGGAGAGGGGCCATGAGTGACCTCCATAGGTCGGGGGGGAGCCGGGACAGCGCAGCAGACAGTTACACAGCGAGGGAAGACCCAGCACTTTGTCAGGAATGGTCTGATATCCCATGGTCATCCCATGTAGAAGGACGCCGGGAGATGAGCAGGGGGAAGAGGGCAGGCGAAGACATCAGAGGACGAGCCAGAGATCCATCTTCTGGCCGTTCTGAGGGCTGGCGCATGGCTGGGGTGTAGGGGTGGTGGGGCATCAAGAATGCCTGCTAAGGGCAGTGCCCAGTCTGTGAGGAGCTGCAAGAATGAGCCCCAACACTGAAGAGAAAGATCAAGTCGTAGCAGGCGAGTATCGAGGCCTCCCTTGGGGTGAACATGACCCAACGTCTAGGCCACAGGAGTGCACGATTGCATTTGGCACTGGGTGCATTCTCCAAAGGGGCAAGAGAGTGCCTACATGAGGCCAGGTGGGTGCATGGAGCCTTGGTGGTCTTGGCTTTGGCTCAGAGTCAGCTGAGATTAAACAATTTACCATCTGTTTGGTAGTTTAGCTGTAATCCAATTGGAAATTTGGTCAAATGTAGCATCTCAGGATTATTGAGAAGAGTGTTGGAGCAATGATGCAGCCTTGCTTAACTCCCGTCTTAACCTTAAAGGGATCCATGATAGATCTGTTACTGAGAGCCTCTGCTTGCCAGGGAGCAGGCAAGATTAGCGACACATTTTGGTAGGTATCTGTACTTCAGAAGGGTCCTCCACAACACTTCTTAGCTGACAGTGTCTCTAAGGTTTTTGTGAGGTCAAAGAAGGCCATGGATAGAGATTTATGTTGTTCCCAGTATTTTTCCTGCAGCTGGCAAGCTGTGAAGATCATGTCAGTTGTGCCTCTTGATGCCCTACACCCAAACTGAGATTCCAGGAGGAGCTCTTCAAGTGGAAGAAGACAGTTCAGTAGGGTTCTCTCAGTGATCTTTCCTGTGGTGGACCGCAAGGTGATCCCTCTGTAATTTCCACAGTCGGACTTATCTCCTTTCTTGAAGATGGTCACAGTCATAGTGTCCCTGAGGTAATTTAGGATTTACTTGTCATTCCAAATTCTTCAGATGAGGGCATAGAGCTGTGACGTGAGCTTCTCTCTTCACTGCTTGAAGGTGTTGGTGGGGATTACATCAGCTTCAGATATCTTGCTGATCTACATCTGCTTGATGGCTTTCCTCACCTTCTCAAAGGTGAAGATTTGCTATTTCAGGGAATGTTCAGATGAGCGCGCATGTGCGGTTTGCAGTGCCTCAGCTGTTTTGTGGCACCAAAAACCTCATGTGGCGCATGTGTACCCATTCGCAGCGTGGTGCCAAAATTTGCAGTGTGGTATCCAGATTTGACATTGGGAATTCCTGGTGTCAAAAAAACTGCCTCGGGGTGGGGGGGCGAAAAAAAAAGCAGTGTGGTACACTCGACAGCAGCATGCACCAGCAAGAATGCAATCTGGCCATTCAGAGCTATGCTCTGGCTTTCAGCCAGGCTCCATGTGGATGGATTGGCACCACTGCTGTCCCAGGACGTTGCCAGAACCCCAGGTAAGGCTGTTGGGGCCAGCTGCCCCTGCCTCACCCGGGACTATTTGGCGCAGGATTGTGCAGGATCTTCCTTGTATTATAGCAAGTGCAGTTTTGTATTCGTCAGTTTTCTCAAATGAGATTTTTAGTCAGTATACTATACTACTTTACTAGTAAATATATTTGGTGTCTGAAATACGCACCTAATTTTTATTTCAGTCTGTGTGAGTTGATGGTTTATATAGTACTTGCCAATCACTGATAAACATTTCAATACCATTCAGTAAATTCTTTTCTAGAATTCCTTGTGTGGGTACCAAATCCGGATGGAATCCCGAACAGGAGAAGCTACAAGATTATTGTATTGCACCACAGGAGTTTTGCTGAGGAAACTGCAGGAAGATGGTCTTCTTTCAAATGTATCTCATGTCATTGTAGATGAGGTTAGCATCTCTTGTAATTATGCAAAAGCATAGTATATGCTTGTAATTATGCAAAAGCATAATACCTTTCATGAGAGCTACTTGTATATGTACCTAAGTGTAACTCACTTTCTACATCCTTCTGATTTAAGGTGCATGAAAGAAGTGTCCAGTCTGATTTCTTGCTGATTATTCTGAAGGAGATCTTGCATAAACGTTCAGATCTTCATCTAATTTTAATGAGTGCTACTGTTGACAGCGAAAAGTTTTCCAGCTATTTCTCACACTGCCCCATTCTTAGAATTTCAGGAAGGAGTTACCCTGTTGAGGTATGTAAATATTTCTTCGCACTGTAATAAGAAAAGGAAAAGACATAGCCTGCTGGATGTATTTCAGCAAAACTCCTTTTTCTTACCTTACAGATATATGGCTTGCAGTGTAGGGTAGACGGAGTGCATAGAGAGTCTCTCTCACACTTGGTATTAAAAGGTTTGCAATGCTATGCATTTTGAAAGGCCCTGGCTAGGGGCAAGTGAGATTGGGGGGCATCTGAGGTCCAAGGCCTTTGGGCTTGGGGCTTGCACATAAGATGCCTGCCGTGGATTTGCGAGCATGGTGAGACCGCAGCTGGAGTACTGCGTCCAGTTCTGGGTGCCACATTTTAACAAGGACATGGGCAAGCTTGAGAGAGTCCAAAGAAGAGCCACCTGAGCCTTAAAAGGCAAGCCATACGAGGAAAGCCTGAGGGATCTGGGACTCCTCAGCCTGAGGAAAAGAAGGCTGAGAGGGGACCTGATGGCAACTTACCGCTACACTAGGGGAGTACATCAAGGGCTCAGTGAACAGCTGTTCACCAGGGCACCTGAGGAGTAATGGCCACAAACTCCTGGAAGATCAATTCAGGCTCAACATTAGGAAAAACTTCTTCACAGTCAGGGTGTCCAGACTGTGGAATAAGCTCCCTCCAGAGATGGTGCAGTCACACAGCCTGGAAATCTTCAGGAGGAGACTAGACAGTCACCTTGCTGGGGTCACCTGCCCCCCAGTTATCTTTCCTGCTTGGTGCATGGGGCTGGATCTGATGATCTTCCAAGGTCCCTTCCAGCCTTATGATCTATGAATCTCTAAGCATCTGAAGCTGTACACCAATGAATCTTGGAGGTAGATTACTTGCCGGTGGTAGCACCACACAGATTTAAATGATTGATCTCTGCTCAGCCAAAATTTGGAACTTAATTCAGAACTGATTTGGCCCTGGAAACTAAATTTATGAGGGAGTTGCACTCATAAGTTGTGGGGTATTATGTAACACAGTGTAGAGCAGTGGTCACAAACCAGTCAATCTCGATCAACTGTCAGAGGCTCCACAATCAACCAGTAGATCTCACTCTGGGGGGGGGCTAAGTGTGCGCGCGCTCAGCCCCCCCAGATGGATTGACTGTCAGAGGCTCCACAATTGGGAGATGTGGGGATGTACAAGCCGCTGGAAGGTGGTAGGACACATGGCTGGGTTGAGCCATATCCCCTGCTGCCAGGGCCATGTGAGGTGAATGGGATGATACCCCTCCGCACCCTGTCACAACCCCTGTCACTGGGTGAGTGGGGTCAGAGCCCAGGTGCTTGTCCAGGCATGCTGCGGGAGCAGGGCACAGGGAGCAGATTCTGGGAGCAGATGCAGGGTTGGGGATCCTGCCTGCTGCTGCTGTCCTGGTTGAGCCTGCCTGAAGCAGCTGTGGAGCAGTGGGGGCAGTGGCAGGTGGGGAGGGGTCATGCCCCTGAGCAGGGAGGGGAAAGGAGGGAAATTCTTACCTTAAAAAGTCTTCTCTTGCTGTTTCCTTGCCAATATCTGACTAGCAGGAGGCAAGGAGGGCAGGGCACAGGGGGTGGGTGGGGGGCGGTAGCTCCTGGGGTGCCCTTTTGCTTCCAGAAAGTGATCTTCACCATAAAAAGGTTTGAGACCACTGGTGTAGAGGGCTGGCTGGCTTTCTTTGCTGGTGTTGTGGAACATTTCTCTTACCTTTTGTATGCTCATTAAGAAGACAAAATGATGAATACAATTCTTGCAGTAACTTAGAACTTTGTGTTCTGTATTACTCTGCAGGTTTTCCATGTTGAAGATGTGATTGAGGAAATTGGCTATGTTCTGGAGAAGGACTCAGAATATTGTCAAAAGTTCTTGGAGGAGGAGGAAGAAATAACAATAAATGTTACTAAAAAAGGAGGAGAAATTACAAAGTATCAAGTAAAACAACTATTTTACAGCTTAATGGTTTTACAGCTGTTTGGTTTGCTTTCCCTCCCCCCTTGAAAGGTTACATGATAAATCACTTGCCAGTAGTCTTTCAGATACATGATCATGAATGTCCTTTCTTTTTGACTCTGAGATTGGTTCCCTCTTGGTATGGCTCAGGTACCTCAGGGCTCTAAGGAATTGGTTCCCCTTTGTGGAACTCAAATTCTTCTATAAGCTTGCTCCTCCCTTCTGGTGTTGGAAGAATAAGTGTTGATATTCTCCCAAGCACCACCTTACTCGTTGCTCAGGATGAAATACACTGCAAAAATTGTGGAGATCTCCATAATGTGATCCTTATTGTCCTTTCTTATATGTTTAAATCAACAGTAAAATGCTAATTATAGATTATTAGGGCTGTGTGAAGCTTCAGTCGCTGTTTCAATTTGGCGGAGATTTGACCTCATTCGGCGGCTAAATCTCTGAATCTGAATCGAATCAGGATACCCGTTAATCTCTCCGAATTGAATCGGAACCCTCCGAATCAATTTGGAGAAATTCGATGATGCAGACAGGCTTTAACTGTTTCTTCTACATACCTCAAGGTACCAGGTGGCTTGTGAATGCTGAGATGCTGGGGCAGATGGAGCATCCCACAGAAGCATGGGGGGGTCCCCAGCACACTTGGCAGCAGACCCAGAAGTGGACCAGAAGCACTTCTGGGTCCGCTGCAGAGTGCACGGGGAACGCTGCCCCACAACTCGGCAACTGGTGCCTCCTGGGGCCCCCCGCTGCTGATCGCTGAGCTGGGGGAATGCAGGGGGAGGTCCCTTGCATGCTCGGTGGTGGACCTGGAAGTGGACCGGAAGTATTTCTGAGTCCACCGCTGAGCATGTAGGCCCCCGCCCCCCCCGGTGCTCTTGTGGGATGCTCCATCTGCCCCACCATCACAGCATTCACAAGCCATCCCTTGAGGTACGTAGAAAAAAGTGTTGAAAGCTGTGTCTATGGCCGAATCGCTGCTTCTGTGAATCAGCATTTAATCTTCAGATTCTGATTTGGCCGAATTGAATCAGGGCAGTGATACGAATCAACAAATCGAATCACTGTCCCCGATTCGGGCTGAATCTGAATCGAATACGGCCCGTTTCTCACACCCCAACAGATTATTAGTGAGGTTTGTAGGGACAGCTCCAGGGTCCTTTGCCGATCTAGACAAATAGGATTATATCAGTTTACTTTTTACTCATGTTTTCATGGTTTCTTTTCCAACTATGAAAGGTAGAGATTTGCTTAGGGTTTTAGATGAAAACAGAGGTTTTAAAATACGGCACAGCGGTTTCAAAAGAAGAAAAATACCAGTTTTTAAGAGCTCATCTAGTGTGTAAACCCTGAGAATAGACCAGTAGCAGGGGAATCTTTTCCTAATTACATGGATTATATCATGTCATTCAGACTAATTTCCTACAACTTGAACTTCTTCTTTACAAAAATCTGGGAATTTCATTCACAGATCGTAGGCTTAATTACGCTGCGCCAGATTCACAGAGATATTTATGCTTCTAACTCCCAGTGATTTCAAAAGGACAGAGGTGACTAACTACCCCTATAGATGTGAACCTTTATTCTAAAGTCTTACAGGGCTGTGAAGCTAAAACACTTAAAAAGCAGCATTACTGTCTTATTTTCTCTTCTCCTGCCACCACTTTCCACAAAATTTCATATTTTGTATTCCTAATATCTCTTTACCTATAGGAGTACATCCCACTCCAGTCTGGATCTGGTGTAGATGTGAATTCTTACTATCAGAAGTATAGCAGTCGTACACAGCAAGCAATTTTCTATATGAATCCCTACAAGATCAATCTTGACCTTATCCTGGAGTTACTTGCATTCTTAGGTACAAGACACTTCAAAAATGTTCATATGGGGTTCTTGCAGATATTGGGAGACTGCCTTGGAATTGTTTATTTTTTATTGATGCTTGCTAGTAGGGGTGTTTTGACTTCTTTCCTTTTTCATAGTGCCTTCTGGGAAGGGACCAGCTCACTAATCATGATACCTTATCACAATCTACTAGGGGTAACGAGTAGGATTTTCTAGGTTTGTTAACTAAGATTATATTGTTTCCTTACAGATAGAACTCCCCAGTTTAAAAATGTAGAAGGGGCTGTGTTGATCTTTTTACCTGGTCTTGCGCACATCCAGCAGTTATATGATCTCATTTCAACTGACAGAAGATTTAACTTAAGGGACAGGTAATTTAGAATGTTTTGTCTGAACCTAGGATACTGATTAATTTGAAAATGTCTAATGTACTCCTTTTTGATTTTTGACAATAGCTATCCATGATTTAAGAATTTTCAATTTTAAGTCACAGTTGGAGGGCACAGATTTTTTTTCAAAATATTTTTTCCAATCCATTTCTTTATCAGCTTTTTCAATCTTGATATAAATCATAATTATTTAAATACATCGGCTGCAGTGAAATTGATCCTTCTTTTTTCCCCAAGAGAGCTGCTATTTGTTTTAACTGTGAAGGGCTTCTTGGGTTTTACTGTCTCGGCAGATAGGAAGCTTCATATCTGGGGCTATAGAAAACTTGGAGAAAGCTGGAATCAAGCAACTTGCTAAGAGACACGTTTTCTTGCAGATTCTGTAAAGGAGTTATAGAGTTCTCTAGGTAGGCAAATTTTCAGATTTTGATTAAACCAACTTTATAGCCCTGCTACACCATCGAGTAGTGCAAAGACGACTTGACATAAGGTGTAATTTGGGGCTCAGACTCAGGAGATGTCTGGGGAAAGGTTGGAAAGGACCTCAGGAGGTCATCTAGTTCAACCCCCTGGTCATGGCAGGACCACCCCTAGCCAAATCATCCGAGCCAAAGCTTTGTCTAGCCAAGTCTTCAGAACCTCCAAGGATGGAGATTCCACCAATTCTCTGCGTAACCTGTTCCAGTGTTTTACTACCCTCCTACTAAGAAAATTCTTCCTAACATCTAACCTAAAGTTCCCTTGCTGCAACTTGAGACCATTGCTCCTTGTTGTGTCATCTGCCACCACTGAGAACAGTGTAGCTCCATCCTCTTTCGAAACCCCCCTTCAGGTAGTTGGAGGCTGCTATTAAATCCTCTCTCAGTCTCCTCTTCTCTAGATCAAATAAACCCAGCTCCCTCAGTCTTTCCTCATAAGTCAAGTCATGAAAATGCAAGGGAAGGGGACAGTAAGAATACTTTCTCTTTGAACCTACTTCTAACCAGAGACTAGGAGGAAGGAATTTATTGTGTTGTGGGATTTTGAGGATTTAAGCATAGCCGTACTATTTCTCTCTAAACTTAGTTCTCTTTTAGTTGCAAGTTATGCATTTTTGAGAATTGTAATGGGATTGAGATTGGGCTGAAAATAGTGAACTCAGCAAATTATATCTGAAACAAAAGGATGCTTTCCTTGTCTCTCTTCTTTGCTATACTCTTAATACAACACAATTAAATGTAGAGATCTCCTCCACTTCTAGAATTCTGTTGCTATATAGTAGAAAGCTTTTTCTCGACACTCCCAGCAACCTAGAGAATGAATATAAAATATTGTTTGCAATACTTTCTTCGATATTTTAATGTAAAACTTTTCTAGTGTTACAATTTCAGAAATAGCAAATCTTTATGCTGTTTGTGTATTCTGATTTTTGCTTTCTTCAATTGCTGCAACCTGCTACTCTTATTTACATGTTTATTCAATAGCATGATTTACTTACTGAATAATTATAACTTCTTCTTTCAGGCATAGATTAATAGCTCTTCATTCTATACTTTCAACTCAAGATCAAGCAGCTGCATTTACAATACCCCCTCCTGGTATTAGAAAGGTATGATAAATTTAAACAAGCAAAATGTACTACTCTGGATCCTTGTTTCTTTATTTTAGATGCTTTTTTATGTGAGATTATTAATTCTTTTAAAATAAAACTGTTTCCTTTATTGAAAACAGACTGCTGCTAATGGTCAAAATCAAGTATACATGTAGCGAGCACTTTTTTTTTCAGTTTTTATTTCACTATAACTTTTTTTATGAAAGAGTAAATTTTTTTAAACTTGTTTTAGAAATCTCTTCTCTAGATATTGTACTGCTTTTTGGGCATAGAAGAGTTTTGCTTAATGCCAAACTACTTAAAGTCAGTTTTTGCAAGTACAAGGTGCCAGTTTAAACCATTTGTGAAATTCAAAACAAGTAAAAAAACACTATATAAACATCTCCTTTTAACTCCTTAGTCCATCCAGATAGCAACAGAATAAACTATTTTGTGAATTCTTGTTAATAATTACATTTCTGGAGGAATATTTTTATTTTTATTTTCTTTACCAAATTTGTTCCAAAAATCATTTTGGAGGAGTAAACCTTACTGGAAAGATTGCTTCTTTAATTTATGGCTATTTCACTTGCAGATTGTTTTGGCAACCAATATTGCTGAGACAGGTATTACCATACCAGATGTTGTCTTTGTAATTGATACTGGGAGAACAAAAGAAAACAGGTAAGGGTTGATCTCTCATAAATTTGGGGAGCTAGGTACCACAGTGGTTTTGTGCTAATTTTATCTGTTTAGACCTAGGTTTAAATTCTGATTTTATTTATTTATAAGTATGATTTACAGTGACCATGTGTCCAAATAAAGTCATTTTGACAATTTTGGTATAAATCCATGTATTTTCACATGAGATAAAAACAGGGAGCTGAATTATTTGAAGGTGATAGAATGCACAGTTAAGTATAATAGGCTGAAATTTAAGGCAGAGCATTTTTCTCACTTAACTTTCCAGTAGTTAGATTTGGCTTGTGTATTTCTCTTATGTAAAGTAATGAAAATATAGTAGAAACAATGATACCGCACTGGGAGGGAGCTCGGCTTGATGACATCAAAATAGGTCTTCCTATTTCTGACAGATGTTTTCATTGATAACTTGTGGAACAACAGAACTTTTTTCCAGATTAAGTTTAAAATTTCTTTAAAAAATTGGTTTATTTTAAATTTTAAATCAGCATTTGAGTTCTTGTGTAATCCTAATCTACACCATCTGTGTACATTTTTTTTCTAGGTATCATGAAAGTAGTCAGATGAGTTCTTTGGAAGAGACCTTTGTCAGTAAAGCTAGTGCTCTGCAACGTCAAGGGAGAGCTGGACGTGTCAGGGATGGATTCTGTTTCCGAATGTACACAAAAGACAGGTGCAATAGCTTTTGTTAGCAAAAATTTATAAATGCTGCAACTACTGCAGTGTCTCAGAAACCTGTGTTAAAGTACACTGTTCCAGTCACAAGTGGAGAAAATCCAGATGCTACAATACTGATAAGGATATTTGTGTCTTTTAAGAGAGACTAATTTCTGCATATCTGCGTCTTTTGCAGTATGAATGTCTAACCTTAATATCTCTTCAGTGTAAGTTTCTTAAACTTTTTTTTCCTTTAAACAATGATATGGGAAAAATGATTGTTGCAGCATTAGAGAATTGAGGATTCTGGTTTGAATAATGCCATAAATTGCACCATTGTCAGATAAACACAAACCCTATCTCTAGATATTTAGCGTTGTTACCCTGCTAATTCATAGGTTTTTAGGTGGACGCTCTATATTTGGAGATACTAGAGGAACTCAGTGCAGCATTAAAGTTCCATTCTGTAGTACAGCTGGATAACTAAAAGTCTAAAAGACCCCTTTGTATTGCTTCTCACTGAAAATGATTTTTGCAATATTTTATAATAAGCCTTATTTAACCGTTACATATTTTATAGTAACCCTTGCATGAGCAAAAAGCACTTGAATTATTTTAATATAGAAAATTTCTTGTTCCTATTCCACTTTCAGTACAACCCTGCCTCCCTTACTGCAACATACATGCATTATTCCAAAGGATAAACACTTTACCCATAGTTTAAAACATGCAGATATATATCAGAAGAGAATGCCTGTCATGCTTCTGACCTGATGAAAACTGGGCATTCTAATTTAAGATGAGTTGTAATTTTAAATCAAGTGAAATCTGTAATACTATGTACGTCTTTATTGGGGTGTTACAGGTTTGAAAGTTTCATGGAATACTCTGTTCCAGAAATACTACGTGTACCACTGGAAGAGTTATGCCTTCATATTATGGTACAGTCTTGCTTCTTGAATTATTCTTAACTTTTTGGCTGAGAAAGATGTGCATGAGTAGCCCAATCTAGAGCCGTTTAATTGGATTGTGTAAGGCTTTTGTATCACTTAATGGACTCAAGTACATGTGTGCATTTTAAAGAATCCAGATGATTCTGAGGGAAATGTTATATAAAACCATCTATTCACTTAGTATATTATTTGATCTGCAGAATAGTCATTGTTTCCAAGCCAAAGCTAAAGTGTCAAATGATGGCTTCTGTTTGTGTTCTAAGTAAATGGGGTGATCATGGGACAGTCATAGTAGAGGGATCGAATCCTGCTTTCTTAACCCAGATGCGTGGGTTACAAAGGTACTTGCATAATTCATATGTGTAAGATTTGGCTTATTGATCCATGTAGTTCAGGGGCGGGAAATTATTTCAGCTGGAGAGCCACTTAACGAGTTTTAGGGAGCTGTTGAGGGCCTCAAGGGTGGCCCTGCCCCTTGACAAGTGTCCAGACCCCTGGTCACCATCTTGGGACTGGAAGTTCTGCCCCCTAACCCTTGACCTTTGCCACCAGAAGTCCCTCTCCTTACCCCCAGAAGTACTCCTTCCATCTTGGAACCAGAAAAAAACCCAATTGATATTCCAAAAATCAAAGATCCACAATAACACATTTCAATTTTATTTTAACAAAAAAATTGTTTTGATTTGTGTGTGTTTGTATTGTGTGTATGGAGGTGATTGCACAATAGCTCAAAATGAAGGCTTTCTCTTGTATATTGTGGGTGGGTAAGGGGTTTGGTGGGGGGTGGGTATGGAGTTTGTAGGGGGCTATGGAGTGTGTGGACGGAGAAGGTGGCTGGGGGTGTTTGCATGGGTGCGTGTGGTGGGGTGTGTGAGTGTAGCAGAGAGTAGGACTTCCTCCAGAGGTGTGCGGG